TTGCGTTCTTTTGTTTTTCTTGACAAATAAGACATTTTTCAAAGTTTGTGAAGTCTTTTTCTCTTTGATGGAAGCTTAAAGGGGCTTATACTGCCATGTCTTCATATACTGTAACTTTCCTAGAGAGAGAAAATTCCCAAACTATATTGTTAACATTACCACTACCACCATTTTTCATTTTGTACAAGTATAGACTTGTGCTAAATTAGATAGGAATTAATGCTAAATGTTAGTATCAAAATTACCATTTTTATTTAGGGGTCACTTTGACTGAAGCCTTGTATGAAATTGTGTATTGTCATCTGTAACAGTAATACTGACCTGTGTATAAGTGTCACTGAATTAAAAAGCTAGTTTATAGAATTTCAAAGGCTAATGGTACATGCAAAGGCAATTACAAATTAAAACCTCCCATCAGGCAGACTAGATGCTACATTGTATGTACTAAAATTTACAATGGAGAAGCATTAAATTAGAAATTCATTTAGGTTTATATCTGCCCGCTATCTGGTACAAACTATGGGCATGCAATCATCAGCGTGAGATTGATATGGTCAGCAAATTTTAATTGAAAGTATAGAAAATATTATTACTTGTGATATATATTTTGACAATTAAGAATATGCAATGTGAAAACATTTCATGTTATATTGCAGAATGTTGATTTTTTGCCATATCTAAACAGCTTCATTGGAGGGCAGCTTCATCGGCCCATGCAAAACCAGTAAAAATCTCTGTACGCTTTTCTTTAGTATCTTTGATCAATAAACACCACATTAAGGTGTCGCAATTGAACTAAAACTGTCGTCCTAGTCATGTTGCAGTGTTTCTGGAACTGTGCAAAAAAAAATTAACACTTTTTCGTCATTCTGCGAACCACTGTTTCATCTCACCTGTAGACCTACAGCACTACTTGGCAGCTCCACATTATACCTCATCTAAACGTATGTAAAATAAGCTTCCAAATGATATAGGTATGTGTAGGGTGGGTGCATTTAACTCCAAAAAATATGGCCTTTTTTGTAGAATTGCTACTTACCTATAAATCAATTATTTAAAAAAAATCAGATTTATTTAAATCGGATTTTTTTCATAATTTTCCTCAATCATTTTATCTAAATTAAAACTATCTTAAGATACATTATAGCTCAGAGATGTCTCCTCATGGAATAGGAATTATTAATTCTATAGTATGAGACAGTATATTCATGTAATGTTTAAAAAGTTTCGTAAATGAGTTCCAATAGTTCATGGATTAGGGACCCAAACTTATGGGGTTCAAGGGGCTTCTGTGTAGATTATTTAGGTTAATCTTTCTATTTATCCGGTGGGACTCAGTGCTCAGTCTAGAAGATACCGTCAGAGATGCTTAGTTTTGCAGTTCTCAAACTGTGGATTTGTGTCTCCAGAGGTAACATGCTTGTTAACAGCAAAAATGTTTTTAAATAAATAAATACTATATAGAGGTGAGAAATAACAGACCTCAACTCTATTATCCCTCTGCAAATTTGTGTACACAGAGACAATCCCTTACCTCTCTCTAAAGTGAGGAGTTTCAAAAAGTTCAATGAATAGAAGATTGTTGGGGGTGGAATAGATCTGGACAAGGAGAAGAAGTCTGAAGATAAATGTGAGACGCGAGGAACATACACTTGTTTTGTTAAAATATTATATGTTTGCTGTTGAACTAAAAAATCCAGAATACTTAATGTTGTTGTTTTAGTTAAATATAACAATTTAAATGTCCGTCTGTTGGTGATCTCCTCCTAATGATTTCATAAATATCTGTTTCAATTACCTTTGGTAAATGAAATAACCAAACAATCATTCATTTTCTGATATAGTTGTAAAACTAATTTGAAAAGTTTTCAAAGTAAATCGCTGTTTAAAAATGCATAGTGTATACCTTCTAAAAATGAAACCTACCTCTATCTGAGTTGTGAAGAACATGTATTAAGGTTATAACAACCAACAAGAATGCACTTTTATGTAGAAAACCATGATTAAATCGAGTCTTTCTGACTAGTGATTTAAATCAAATCCACCCTGAGTAAAGTGCTATTTTATGAATGAGGAGAGAAAGGGACAGGCTAATGGCATACCACAATTAGAGCACAAAGTGAAATGAGAGAGAGGATGAATAGGATCACTGGAGTCTGGAATAGTATCTTATGTAGATATCCAGTTTACTCTGTGAAAGTCATACATTTCTGTAATTTTTTTGATTTTAACAAAAGTGTAGGAAAACATCTAGCTAAGATCAAATGTAGAGAACCAGGCACCAGGTTAAATGGTGCAAACAGGGCTTGAGACATTTCAGACACCTACTATTCAGAGGATTATCCAATAGCCAATGGCTAATATAAAATATAGATATGGGGATGAACCAGCAAAGAACTAGTGAGAATCTGTCTCTTTCCCTCCTTCCCCTCTTCTGTAAATGGAGAGGGTGCTGTTCCCAGAAATTGATGGTGGAACTCCATTTTTCACATCTGTCTGTGGCTAGGAGTTTCTGATCAATTGGAATTCCCTCACTTTCTCCATGCTACATTTCTTATCTTCCTTCACCCAGAGCTTCTTGGCTGTTGTGAGGGCATAGTGGAGGGAGTGAAGACTAGCTCTTCAGTTTCTTTGAATCCTCTCTTCCACCGTACCCTGATCCCAAATAGCTATTATGCTTGCTCCTAATGTTCCCAAGTAGCAGAGTGACCGTGATTCTTGACAATTTCTTACTCTCCTCCAGGGATCTTAATAGTAATTTCTGAATCATTAACAAATTTGGTCATTCTGTTTAGCAAAGTTGTGAGCAGCAGCAGAATACTAATGTTTGTGGACTTGTGAAGACAACTTTCTGAATGTTAACTAGGGCAATGATCAGCTTTAATGGCTAAATCCTTCAAAATAACTTAAATTCTGCAGAAATGGGATACTTAGACCACCTCTGTGGCCAAGGATAACCTTTTGCTTCATGGAGGGGAGAGGATTTTCAAAACATATAATGAAGGGGTAGTCTTGGACACAAATTAACTATACTGCCAAAGTCAAAGGATGCCTGCAAGCCATAAAGAGATCCCCTTAATGCTTTTCCAGGCTCAATTTTTCAAAACTTTAGTTCCCATTTAGCACCTAAATGAAGTGGCTGATAGAGTTCTCAAATGCTCACCACTCGTGGAGGAACATTTCTGAAAATATGACAACACTCAGGACTAAGCCTGTTAGGAAACCTGACCAGTTCATTTAGATGCCTAAATGGGAATCTCACTCTTTTGAAATCCTGATCCCAGTTGTGGGTGCTGAGCACATCTAAAAATCTAGCTCGAAATCTTTTGAATTTTCCACTCTCTCTCATAGAAAAGATCAACCTAATAAAGATACTACCTGTCTTACAAATTAACTATATTGCAGCACATAACCTTTCATGAATCTCAGCATAGTATTTAAAGACGTTGTTTCGATAAGAAGCGGGACAGAGGACAGACCTTGCATGAGCCCTGTCAATACAGTGATCAAGATAAGATGGGATTTGGCTCCCAAATACAAAGCTATATCTTTGGAGGGTCAAAGTGAGACAGTCTGGGGCATTTGGTGCTGCAATGCGTCTCCAGGTCACGCTTTTCTCTGGGAAGTAGTAAGGCAGGTCAAAGGAGATAAATTAAGTAACCCAATCATATCTCACTTGAAGTATGGAGAGGGTCTTATGGTCTGTGGAGACCTTTAGTTGCAGAAGTCCAAATTTAATTCAGTACTTTGTTTAATAGGGTAGTTTTCAGATGAAAGATTAGAGAGGAAGTGATCAAATATGGGACTATTTACTGATGGGACGCCTAATACCTCTTAGAATTTGAAATGTGTACCCCTCTGTGCCAGCTTGGGTGAATTTGACTCTAGGATCATAACTAAAATCAAGATTATGATGTATACAGTGGTGAAGTATTCTTGACTGGGACTAATGGAATATCATTCATGACATGGTAGGCATTTATAAGGAAAGGCATAGGGTTCACAAAAAAGGTATTCACATCCGTATCCCACTTACATATTAGTGCTGCTTTCCATGCAGCCCTTCATGCTTGGAACCCCACCTTCTCTTTCAAGATCTGCTCCTTTTAAGTCCCTGCTTAAAATACAGTTTTTCCAAAAGGCCTTATAAGCCCAATTATCTCCTTTTAAAGAAGTGTTAACTGAAAAGATACTAGAAAAATAAACTAAACCAAACTAATGGCAATTTCAAGACCACATGCTGACTTCACTGCTTATTTGCTTGCTGATACATCTCATCCCCCATGTTTTGCTAATTAGATGGTAAGCATTTCAGTACAGGGATTTTGTTTGCATATTTATTCGTAAGGTATCTGGTGTACTGTATTTTTAGTGTTATAAACAGAAAATAAAGAAATATTTGTTAGTTTAGTGGTATAATGTTTTTGTTTTCCTCAGGAATGAGTACAATACAAATGGAATATAGGCATCTAAATCTGTACTGTGCGGTAACAGACATTTCAGATGTTTTAAACTATAGCTATGTGTGTTTTTTAAAAATTTATTTGCACAATTACTTGAAAACTTGTTAAATGTTGCTACTGTTCACACTTGTAACAGTTTTTGAAACAGTTACATGGATACATTCACATGAGTACTATACTTACATGAATAATCTCATTGGCGTCAGTTGAGTGAAGATTTTTTAGGAACTAATGGGTCTAGTCATATGAGCAAGGAGTATTTTTGTGAGTAATGGCTTGTATGATTAACTCGTTACCTTGGATCATTAGATAATATGCAGCAATTCCTATTACGTTCCTGAATTAGGATATATCTAATAGCTAGTAATTTTTAACACTTTAAACCTGTTATTCACTTGCTAGTGATTAGTCATTATCATCAGAAATTGTGGGGCTTTTTTATTTAAAGCAACAAGATGTGTTACCAGTGCAGTCTGCGTGTATATTTCCAAAGTTGCTAAAAGTGTAAATGCTTAACATCTTTTTTCTATTAATCAGGTTTAAGACTCCTGACAATCTCATTATCACACGTGAGATTCATGTAGCAAACAATGCATCTGTGTGGTTTGTCAATAAAAAGCCCTCAACACTGAAAATAGTAGAGGAGCAAATTGCAGCCTTAAATATCCAAGTGGCCAATCTGTGCCAGTTTCTTCCTCAGGTAGGAGAGACAATAACAGATAAAAATTGAGTACTGCTTGTTTTTGGTGGGGGAGAGGGAAGGAGGGAGAAGGGGATTGTGACTTTTAAAATTTGGCCTTTTAGTAGGGCGACTAGAGGTAGCTCTTTGGAAGGCCAAAAAGGGTTTAAAAAAAACCAAACCCCAATTTTAACCATTTTTATGTGTGCGGGTGTGAATGGCATGCATAATGTTTTAAGGCTAGCTAATTTTGTCAAATTAGGTAATCTTCCATAAAAAAGGAAGCATGTGTTGGAGATGGCATGGTCCAATGGATAGGGATCAAGTTTAGGAGGCTGGAGGCCTGCACTAGGCTTGTTATGTGATCTTGGGCAAATTACTTTTTTCCCCTGTACCTTATTGAATTGGGGATCATGGTATTTGCCGTAGTTTGGAAAGTGCCTTGCGTCTATGGATGAAAAATAATCGAAACTATTAAGTATCTTTAAATATAGAAGATACATTCTCCGAACAAAGCCAGGAGGAACCTGGGTATGTTTGGGAAAAGAAAAGTAGCAGAGAGCTCCATCATGTAGGTAGTTGGCTTCCTAGTATGTCTGAACTTGAGAACAGACACATTTAATTAGACACTCTCTAGACTAGGGGTAAAAAGTGTCATTTTAAAACATGTTGGCCGACATATTTTAATCAGGTGGTGGTTAAACTACGTTTATTAATGAGGTCGCAAATTTTTTTTTTTTAAATCAGTTTTTCACTACTCGACCTTAGCGGGAAAATGACGTTAAAACAAATTCTGGGAATGTGGCAGAGTGAAATTTTGAGCACTTAGGTTTTCCAGGGTGTGTGTTTTTGTTTGGAGAAGTGTTCAGTGATCACCGGAAAGCCATGGACAATATTTGATAGCAATTAGATTTTTCAGCCAGGAGAACTATGACTATATCATATGTTAACTACTTGTCAGGATACTGTGGGCATTTTGAAGGATTTTGGATAACAGAGTTACAGGGCTGGCTGTAATATATAACTGAGGTGCACATTTAATAATAATTTATGCACTAACTTCCAAAGCTGTCTGACATGTAACTGTATGTTGTATGTGCATATTAGCTTGAGATAGACCAATATATTGCAATAAAATAATACTTTGTTGCTATAACATAACAGACCTGCAGCATCCTTGGTTTTTGGTTTCTGCTTTGCAGGACAAAGTTGGGGAATTTGCAAAACTGTCCAAGACTGAGCTTCTTGAAGCCACAGAGAAATCAGTTGGCCCGCCAGAAATGTACCAATTCCACTGTGAACTAAAAAACTTCAGAGAGCGAGAGAGAGAACTTGAGGTAAGTACCTACATAGTAGAGGGACAGTGGTAGGAGGGATTTTCATAGACCTTCCAGTTTATTTTTGTTTTTAACTATGATCAATAATAGGTAGATGTCAGGTAATTTTTGTACAATATGATGCTTTTACAAGAGTAATTGTTTGTTTCTGACATTATGCTCACTTGTACAATGGCATAATAAGGAAGTATTCATATTTAAAAGTTGGGCTTCTGGCCAGGGAAGATTGTGTCAATATTGAGTTAACTGGCCAAGCTTGCGAAGGCCTTAAACTCAGTTCAGTGGCATTTGTCTTCTGTATGTAATACAATAATGTTTGAATGCCACATCCAATTATTTCCAAAATTTCAGGGAATGTTCTAGGCATAAGTGTCCAGAACATTATTGATATGGGGGGAAATCTGAAAACTCCAAGGGGAAAATTGGGTGCACATGAAGCCTCTCCCATCTCATTAGTACAGCCACAGCTTCAATCGCTTTTATGCCATTGTCTGTAGATCAAACAACTAATTAATGACACCCATTAATGCTTAACAGCATAACAATACCCTATCTCATCTCTGCCTATCCTCCAAATAAAGTTTAGTACGTTGACATTTATCTTCCAGTTATAAAGAATAATAATGGTGAGAGGAATGGGGCTGAATGGGGGCATGCACACAGTTCCTAACTTAAGGGGTAGAATATTATATGACAAACAGTGACATTGACTAGGCACTATGGCGATACCAAGTTAATAATAAAATGTCACTTTGTTTGCCATATAGTATCTGTTAATCTAATTAAACAAGATAGATAAAGGAATTATAAAGAGGTGCAAAACTAACAGTTATAAAATATCTCTTCTTAACTGAACTAAATATCTCTACTTTCATTACTAATTAGAATTCATTCAAGAAAGAGCAAACTGTGTAATGTAGTAATGAAAAATAGTTCCTCGCCCTCTCCTGTTGACCACTAGAGAATAATTTGTTTGATCAGAAAATGTTGTTTTTTTTTTTTTAAAGATTAGGTGTGTTTGAATTACTCTTGTTACTTGTTGTTGTAGCCATGTTGATCCCAGGATATTAGAGAAACAAGGTGGGTGAGGTAATATCTTCTATTGGACCAGATTTTGGTGGTGAAAGAGAGACGCTTTCGAGTTTGTAGTCTCAAAAGCGTGTTTCTTTCAACAGAACTTGGTTCAATAAAAGATATTGGTTCATCCATCTTGCATCTCATTACCTGTATCAAACTTGAGTTTCCATGGCACAATTATGTGGGAAAAGTTGTCCTGCACCTTCCAGTACTGTTGGCTATAACTAGGTTTGACTCTTCCTTTTTTGAAGAATGAAATTTAGTTGCAATTAGAACACAACTAAACTGTGCTAAAAGTCTGTCTAATCCTTAATTTCTGCTCAGTTGACATACTTTTCATAATTTCTGCATACCACTTTGTATTTACTTATTTTAATAAAGTAAATGTAAAATATATTTTCTGACAGAATTCATTGCAAGAGAAAACTAATTTCTTGGAGAAAATGAAGCAAAGAAATGAACGGTATAAGCAAGATGTGGAGAGATACTATGAACGCAAGCGTCATCTAGATTTAATAGAGATGCTTGAGAGAAAAAGACCGTGGGTGGTAAGTTTTCCCCCAGTTTTTCTGAAAAACTGTTATAAATCTGCCATATTTTTAAAAAGAGAGAGTTACTATGCAGTGAAATAATTTTTTCCAACCCAGAATAGCCTGAGCACTACCAACATTATAGAAAGTGTATAATTGTCCTGAAACATTGTGTTCTACCCCTGGCCTCACTTAGCTTTTGCCTAGTTGCACCTATTGCTTCAAGCAATGGCTTTGCCTTCCTTTTAAAGCATGAAGTAGTAGTGACTCCCTCTGCTAGACCAATCATTCAGTATTGTATTATTGGGTGGTGGTATTTCCAAGCAGCTGATCACCTTGTGCCCTACAGCATAATGAATGATCGGTCTTTTTGTTGCTTCAGAAGTAAGCCTTGCAGTGAGTTTCACAAATTGTTTTGTCATACAAGCACCTAGCACTGGAGATAAGTGCTTTAAAGAAATCAAAATAAATAAGAGACTTGCTGGGTTAAAGGTAAATCATTTTGGCTTACTTAATAACCATCCTCTTATGTCCACAAGAGTCTGAATTATTTTGAATTACGAAATGTAATATTTCAAAACGGACTCAGATTTGGAGAATCAAAGGATCATTTAAGCTGGGGTTGTTTAGTATTTTGAGGCATTTGTCGTCATTATATTTACTCTGCTTTCGTGCCATCGATTAAAGTTTCCTTCATGGGCTTGCTTAATGAAGTATATGTGGCAAGTTTTTGGATCTCATTCACACTGACTGAAATTCACAGAGGGTGCAGAAAGCCTGGCACTCTATAGTAGGTTAGCCATGTAGTGGCACTGCATGTGGGGAGTTGCAGGTGTAGCAACCACACAGAAGCTCCCTGTACATTAAGGAAGAGGCCTCCATGCCAGCCATTGATCGGTAGACTTGAGGAGGGGCAACAGAATTCATAATTATGTGACTCAGGTGCCCCTAACCCACAGTACAAATGGTATGAAGGGACCGCTACTGGGGGACAAGGGCTATAGCCTTCCAACCTGGCAGCGGAGGATAGACTTTGCCCTTTTCTTTTATGTGGGTGAAGTGAATTTCTCCTCTAGTGGTAGGGGATACTTTTTACTCCTTAACTGAGTTATCTGTTATCTAAACAGGACAGCTACAGGCGGTGCACAGTTAATCAGGAAAGATCATTGACATCACTGTCATTGGGGCAGTACTTTGAAGGCTAATCAGTAGTGACTAAGGGGAAAACTAATTAATGTTTGTCATAACACAAATATTTCTGAATTGACTCTTATATTTGGAAACAAATGGTTCTTTGAGTAATGCCTTTGTAGATTCACACAGCTGAGACACACCTGCACACTTAAATTTTCCCAAGAGCTCTGTAGAAATCATTGATCACACTTTTGCCATCCTGAACATTTGGGTCTAAAGGTGGACAAGAAGCAGTCAGCCTGACCCCCTACCTGCTTGTGGCTATCCCTCAGAACACTGAATTCACTTACATAGTGGATTTGAACAGAGAAGACAAGTACCTTTCCATCCATTGAATCCCAGTATAGTAATGGCAACAGGTGTCTCTACCACGGGTTGGAGTGCTCACTTAGTTAAGTCACAATTAACGTTCTGTAAGTTGGCAGATGCCAGGTTACATACCATTGTACTGAGACAAGTGGTTTAGTTGGCTTCTCAAGTCTATTATCCATCAAGTACGGAATCAGGTAATACAAATATTTAGCCGGCAGTAGCATGAAGATGAACTATATGATCTACCAGGGTCGAGCCAGATCTGCTGTTTGTAATAAAGCTATTCCTTGAGGAGGCAGTGCATTCAAAAATCTTGTCCTCAGCACTGTTGGCCTGTGAGGCATATAGAGTACATTAGTCCACAATCTCAGCAGAAATTTCACCTTCTAGCACATAAGAACATAAGAATGGCCCCACTGGGTCAGACCAAGGGTCCATCTAGCCCAGTATCCTGTCTTGCGACAGTGGCCAGTGCTAGGTGCCCCAGAGGGAATGAACAGAACAGGTAATCATCAAGTGATCCATCCCCTGTTGCTCATTCCCAGCTTCTGGCAAACAGAGGCTAGGGACACCATTCCTGCCCATCCTGGCTAATAGTCATTGAAGGACCTATCCTCCTTGAATTTATCTAGTTCTTTTTTGAACCCTGTTATGGTCTTGGCCTTCACAACATCTTCTGGCAGAGTTCCACAGGTTGACTGTGCGTTGTGTGAAGAAATACTTCCTTTTATTTGTTTTAAGCCTGCTGCCTATTAACTTCATTTGGTGACCCCTAGTTCTTGTGTTATGAGAAATAATAACACTTCCTTATCTACTTTCTCTATACCAGTAATGATTTTATAGACCTCAATCATATCTCCCCTTAGCCGTCTCTTTTCCAAGCTGAAAAGTCCCAGATTTATAAATCTCTCCTCATACGGAAGCCATTCCATACCATTCCAATAATTTTTGTTGCCCTTTTCTGAACCTTTTCCAATTCCAATATACCTTTTTTGAGATGGGGCGACCACATCAGCACACGGTATTCAAGATGTAGATATACCATGGTCTTGAAAGTAAAAAGTGCTTTGTTCCTTGTTTCTGACATGGGAAAATCCTGCAAATAGATCTATTGGCAATGAAAGAGGATGCCACCCTCTGTCTTTGAAAGAGGAAGACCTTATTTCCCCTCTCATGTTTTCTTTTCTTTATGCCTTAACTCCAATACCGCTGATCCTGAGAATAACGGAAAATTAGAGAGGATGGAGAAAAAGTGCTTCTGATATATTCAGTACCAATAAGTCCAGTTGGGGGCTAACCTGCAGCTTCCATCCTCGTCTTCACTAATTCCCACTCTTTTTTTCACAGAAAATGACAGCGTGCTACAGTTAGATTAAAATCCTTGCAACTACCTCTTTGGATTTTGAAATCTTAACAGGACAGAATTATTAGTGTGTTTTGGAGCTGATACTGATGCAGATTTGTAAGCACTCTACTAGACAAACGCGCTGCAAAATGTAAGAGATTCCCTTTTTGGGCAGCCCAAAACCAGAGTAACCCAACATCTGCTACTATTCTGATGATATTTGATTATCTTTTGACACAAAAAACCCTCTCAAGTATCAGACTGAGCTCAGTTTATTTGACTACTACTTCACTTTATCAAGTTTCTCTATGAAGATCCACTGGTGATTTTGTACATAGTCCAAATTATTATCTAAGGAAGTTTAGATACTTACAGGTTGCTGGACTATGTTGGAAGTCAATGACTTATGAATAATGACCACCAGGTCATTTTCAAACTATCTGAACAAAAGTTCTCACTGCAATGCTGTGGGGGGGGAAAAGCTTGGATGTCTTTTAGAAAAGACATGGTTTAGGTCAACCACAAATTATTGGGTGCAGTACAGGTTATTACTATGACCTTTGTTATGCAGGAGATCAGACTAGATGATCATAATGGCCCCTCCTGGTCTTGAAATCTATGGATCTACTCTGATATCCCTTTATTAACCACCTGTTTGACTTTTCTCCTCCTTTCCCCCCAGAACTACATTAATTACTGGGGAAAGCTTTACTACATAGCCTAGGTGTAAATAGAGCATTTAGCTACTATCTTTAGTGGAAATAAACCCATCAAGTAGTCCTACAGATTCTTTATGGTTTAAAATTACCTACGTAGAGAATATATATAGATACAAAGTGTTATGATCTTGTGAGGGTTATGATTCCCAAAAGTCTTAAGGTACATTCCATTGCTTTATTTGTAATACCCACAGTTTCTCTTAGAAACATCCCCATACTTGGCATCTGTAGAGCTGTGACTTGGATCTTTGTTCATACGTGTACATGTCATTCTAGATTTATCTTAAGATCTGACACTCAACTTGGTAGAATAATGTTTGTTTGTTTAGTTAGGTCCTCCTACCACCTTTACAAAAATCTTTGCTAATCAGATTCACAGAGAATAGATCTCTTAAGAAAATATTTGAAAAAAGCAATAGTTATTCACCTATAACTGAATAACTTGGAGGTGCTAGCTTGTGTAGGTTAATTGACATGATCAATCCTCCTTCCCAACTATTTCTGAGCCTTCCTAGTGGACTTTGAAATAGAGAAAGAAACTGAGGGGCAGGGCAGGCCCATAGCTCCTTTATATACCCTTTGGGTCTCAACATTTGATGCTGCATTGTCCATAGGCCAAGGCTTTCTAGATGTTTCCAGCAAGTATGTGGCATTGTGAGGTGCATCCCAAGTCTGTGAATCAGTCCCTGCAATAATCTTGAACTACAGTAACTGGAGAGCAAACTGTTTATCTGTCAGTGTCACCAGGGGATTAAGTTGCTCTTCTGAGACTCACCATTTTGGAAGGGTTTGACAAAGAATGTTTCAAAGTAACTTGGGCAGCAATACAAAAATGTTCTTTGTTTACAAGTAGAAAATTAATATCCAGGTGGGAAAAGGCAACAACACATAAAGCAAAAAGAATAGATAATAGTCTGAAATTCTAATATGAGCATTTCTGTTTTTCGCATGCCCCAGAATTTGGAGTACCTCAGACTCTTGTGCTCTTGAACTCACATTTCAGGTTCCTGTGGATACCAGTAGCGTTTCCAGGTTCATCTTGGTGTTGGGAGTTGCAGTGGAATGATGGGTTGATGTCAATTGGTGGGCTATGCCGAAATCAGGACAAACTCCCCAGGTTCAGTATTATCCAGGACACAAACACAAGTCAGGATATTCACAGAATAATTGGATGTTTACACTCATACTTTTATACCAAAATTATTCAAATGCCATTGCATGTTTTTGATCAGCAGGAAATAGGTGGGTCGTTGTATCTCAGGGTCAAGCTGATCCAAACCTAACGAGTTAATTGAACCATTACTGGAACTCGATCACTGTAGAACAGACTTTTTGCACGATTCTTGTTGAATTAAACATGAGCACTGCAGAGGCATAATATGTGTATCCAGCTAAACGCAGAAGGTAAAAGGCTTTCATTGTTTTGCTTGAAATTCTTGCAAGGAATATGAAAATGTTCGCCAAATGCATGAGGAGGTGAAACAAAACCGTGACCATGCAAAGGAAGAATTAAAAAAACTACAACAAACAAAGTCTCCCATGACACAGCAAATCCAAGAAGTTGAAAAGCAATGGAGGAATTTGGATATAAAAATCAAAGAGAAGGTATGTATTTTGGATTCTCGGTTAAAATATTTAGACATTCCATATGTTTAATAAAGGTGAAAATGGAACATGAAGCAATCAGAATATGTTCATTTTTGTATAGTAGAAATAGCATGTTTTTAGAAGGGATTTTAATGAAAGTATTTTTGCCCCTCATTTTCCCTGCTCTGTTCTTTGTGCCTCTCCTCCCTAAAAGGAAATTAAATATGGCTATGTGGAGTTATGTACTACTTAGTTCACTTTCCGTGATCCCATTTGGTGCACCACTGCAAAAGCACCATAGGAATAGACACAGCCATATGGTTTTCTTATATTAAAAATCTTTAGGCCAACATACACAGACTTAGTTCCATAAAGTTAGGCAGCTAATTAATTTGGCCTGATTTTCTTTTTTTTTCCAGAGGTGCCAAGCACCTGCAGCACTTTCATTTACTTAATTTGGGAACTGTGAGTGATGAGCACCTCCTGAAAATCAGGCCAGTTTAGTTTAGGTAGCTAGCTTCATGCATCCAATTTTGAATATTTTGGCCTACTGATTTCCTGAGCTGCTACTCCATCTACATTTAACCCGATTCTAAATACCTATACGATAGTTTGTCAGATAGTAACCGGTCTTCCTCCATGATTCATAATAATATTTATGAATAAAAACAGTTAATTTAGGTATGTTTTGTGGTATAATACGTTGTTTGAGAGTTTTTGGATAGCTGCAATGTATTCATACTATTGGAAAATGTTAGTGAATCCTGAAAGATTTCTATGAATATTTTAGCCCGAGTATCAGATGTACTGTATTCATTATTTGCTGTTTGTTCTTTTAAAAAATGGTGAGCAGAGTGGATTGACTTAAATCAAAGCAATCTAAATCACGAATTTTAATCACGATTTAAATCAGCAAGCAGGAAACCTTGATTTATATCATCAGTTTTAATCATTTAAATTTGTACTTTTTAGTTATTTTCCTAAAGAAAGATTGATTCTCATTAGTTGGTAACTATTGAAATATATTGATATGCAACTAAATATTGCCTTTGCACTAAAATTGGTGTTTAACTTGCATTTATTCAGATGCTTACTTTTTACATTTTTATGATGTTTGAAAATGGAGTAATGCATTTCTTATTTACAAGGTGATTAATATTTTACTTGTGATTTGTATCAAACTCTATTTGGATGGAAATTCAAATTAAATTAAAAATGCTTAAAAACAGCATTTTAATTTTTTTATTAAATAAAATTACCCAAGTGCAGGATACATTAACTTTTTTTCTTATCAGAAAATTTATCAAAACATAGTTTTAAATGAAAAACAACTAATTTATTAAACAAAGGCAGTGTTATCTATAGTTAGTGAATTGAACTGATTGGTTTCTGGTCACCATGTCCTTCAAGATGATAGAGCTAGTAGATCTCACCCTCTCACACCTAATTTTTGTCCATAGCCTGGAAGAGGAAAACGAGCTTTCCAACTTTTTAACTCCCAAATGGTTTCTTAACTTTGAATGAATTAGTAATCGAATCGAACTGAACTAGTTGAATATACTGAAATGAAGAAGATATTCTCTTTGCACCTGCAGAATGGGCTGCTGCTGTCAAAAGATGGGTTTCAGAGTAACAGCCGTGTTAGTCTGTATTCGCAAAAAGAAAAGGAGTACTTGTGGCACCTTAGAGACTAACCAATTTATTTGAGCATGAGCTTTCGTGAGCTACAGCTCACTTCATCAGATGCATACCGTGGAAACTGTAGCGGACTTTATATATACACAGAGAATATGAAACAATACCTCCTCCCACCCCACTGTCCTGCTGGTAATAGCTTATCTAAAGTGATCATCAGGTGGGCCATTTCCAGCACAAATCCAGGTTTTCTCACCCTCCACCCCCCCCCACAAATTCACTCTCCTGCTGGTGCTAGCCCATCCAAAGTGACAACTCTTTACATAATCAAGTCGGGCTATTTCCTGCACAAATCCAGGTTTTCTCACATCCCCCCCACCCCCATACACACACAAACTCACTCCTCTTGTTTTTTTCTACACCCCCCCCCCCCCCCCCCCCCCAGATGTTCTGGTTTAACTTGGATTTAAACTTGGAGAGTGGTCAGTTTAGATGAGCTATTACCAGCAGGAGAGTGAGTTTGTGTGTGCTACAGTTTCCACGGTATGCATCTGATGAAGTGAGCTGTAGCTCACGAAAGCTCATGCTCAAATAAATTGGTTAGTCTCTAAGGTGCCACAAGTACTCCTTTTCTTTTTGTCAAAAGATGGTTTATCACTTCAACAAACTCTGTTTCCAGATGCTTGCTTAACCAGTGACTTTCACAAGTTCTGTGGTATCACTTTCTTTAAAACTTGGCAACTTATTAGGGCTGTCAAGCAATTAAAAAAATTAATCACATGTGATTAATTGCACTGTTAAACAATAATAGAATACCATTTATTTAAAAATTTTTGATGTTTTCTACATTTTCAAATATATTGATTTCAATTACAACACAGAATACAGTACTCACTTTATATTTATTTTTGATTATAAGTATTTGCACTGTAATAAAAGAAATAGTACTTTTCAATTCACCTAATACAAGTACTGTAGTGAAATCTCATTATCATGAAAGTTGAACTTACAAATGTAGAATTATGTTTAAAAAAAAAACTGCGTTAAAAATAAAACACTGTAAGATTTTAGAGTCTGCAAGTCCACTCAGTCCTACATCTTGTTCAGCCACTCGCTCAGACAAACAAGTTTGTTTACGTTTGCAGAAGATAATGCTGCCCGCTTCTTGTTTTCGAGGTCACCTGAAAGTGAGAACAGGCATTCTCATGGCACAGTTGTATCCAGCATCGGAAGATATTTACATGCCAGATGCGCTAAAGATTCATGTCACTTCATGCTGCAGCCGTGCCAGGGGACATGCGTCCATGCTGATGACAGGATCTGCTCGATAGCAATCCAAAGCAGTACAGAACGATGCATGTTCATTTTCATTATCTGAGTCAGATGCCACCATCAGAAGGTTGATTTTCTCTTTTGGTGGTTTGTGTTCTGTAGTTTCCGCGTTGGAGTGTTGCATGCTTTCAGAAGTCTTAAAAGAGCTCCACACCTCGTCCCTCTCAGATTTTGGAAGGCACTTCAGATTCTTAAATCTTGTGTTGAGTGCTGTAGCTATCTTTAGAAATCTCACATTGGTACTTTCTTTGCGTTTTGTGAAATCTGCAGTGAAAGTGTTCTTAAAAGGAACAACATGTGCTGGGTCATCATCCAAGACTGCTATGAACATGAAATATATGGCAGAATGTGAATAAAACAGCAGGGGGCATACAATTCTCCTCCGAGGAATTCAGTCACAAATTGAATTAACATTTAAAAAAAAAAAAAAAAAAGAGACTCATCAGCATGGAAGCATGTCCTCTGGAATGGTGGCTGAAGCATGAAGGGACACACAGATGTTAGTATATCTGGCATGTAAATACCTAGCAATGCCAGCTACAAAAGTGCTATGCAAATGCCTGTTCTCACTTTCTGGTGACATTGTAAATAACAGGGCAGCATTATCTCCTGTAAATGGAAACAGACTTGTTTGTCTTAGCGATTGGGTGAATAAGAAGTAGGTCTGGGTGGACTTGTAGGCTCTAAAGTTTTACATTGTTTTATTTTTGAGTGCAGTTTATGTAAAAAAAAAAATCTACATTTGTAAGTTGCACTTTCACGACAAAGCGATTGCACTACAGTACTTGTGTGAGGTTAATTGAAAAATACTATTTCTTTTGTTTCTCATTTTTACAGTGCAATCATTTTATTTGTAATCAAAAGTAATATACACTTTGGTTTCAGTTACAACACAGAATACAATATATATTAAAATATAGAAAAACATCAAAAATATTTATTTAATAAATTTCACTTGGTATTCTATTATTTAACAGTATGATTAAGACTGCGATTAATCTCAATTTTTTAAATCGCAATTAATTTTTTTTGAGTTATTCGCATGAGTTAATTGCGATTAAGTCACAGCCCTGCAACAAATATACTGCTTAATATTTTTTGTATTTAATGTAAATGATTTTAATAGATTATAGTAAGTTTAGGCTTTAACATAAGCTGTCAGTTTCAACTTTAATTTTAAATAGGTTTATTTTAAAAACAAAACGTTAATTTAAATTTCAAAAAGGCAATTTAAAGTCTGTTTTAAAAAAAAAAGATCTTTTTTTTATCCACCCTGAAGGCGTGTCATCCAATCAAGGTGTAGAAACAATACTAATGGTTTAGTTCACCGATCACACAACTGACCAGGGATGGAGAGGAGTTATTTAAGTTAGACGCCAACGTTGGCACAAGAACAAATGGATATAAATTGGCCATAGAGTTTGGACTTGAATTTAGACAAAGATTTCTAACCATAAGAGGAGTGAAGTTCTGGGACAGCCTTCCAAGAGGACCAGTGAGGGCAAAATACCTAACTGGTTTCAAGACTGAGCTTGATAAGTTTATGGCGTGGATGCCACAATCAGAGTGTCTACAACAGGGGTTGGCAACCTTTGGCATGTGGCCCATCAGGGTAATCTGCTTGCAGGCCGCAAGGCGTTTTGTTTACGTTGACCGTCCGCAGCCACACCCTCCTCACACTCCCCACAGCTCCTAGTGGCCGCGGTTCTGCGAGGGGCCATGCCTGCAGACAGTCAATGTAAACAAAACGCCTTGTGGTCTGCCAGCAGATTACTCTGATGGGCTGCATGCCAAAGGTTGCCGACCCCTGGTCTACAATACTTGTGGCCCATCTGCAACTACTAGTCGCCAATATCCCCAATGGCAGGAGCTCAGACACTAGAGAGGAAGAACTGAGTTACTACAGTGTATTCTTTCCCAAGTGTCTGGCTGGTGGGTCTTGTAGACATGCTCAGGGTCCAACTGATCACCATATTTGGGGTCATAAAGGAATTTTTCTCCAGGTCAGAATGGCAGAGACCCTGGGCTTTTTTTTTTTTTACCTTCCTCTG